GCCATAGATCTGTTGCTTCCTCATACCATATCCTACATACCAACCTTCCATTTCTGACATTTGGCTATCAGACACCCAAGAACTGGTTAGTAAGTTTACAGATGACACCAAAATAGGTGGTGTGGTGGGTAATGAAGAAGATTATCTCAATACAACAGGATCTTGAGGAGGTGAGCCAAAAGGCCGAGGAGCGGCAGATGGAGATTAATCTAGATAAATGGGAGGCGTTACACTTTGCTTCGGCAAAGCAGTGCAGGATTTATATACTTAACGGTAGGGCCCTCTGGGGCAAACAGAGACACCTAGATGCATAGTTCCTTGAAAATGGAGTCACAAGTAGAAAGGGTGGTAAAGGTGGTGTTTGGCACGCTTGCCTTCAATGGTCAGAACATTGAGTATTGGAAATGGGATTGCGACTGTACAGGGCATTGGTGAAGCCACTTTTAGAATACTGCATACAAATTCTGGTCACCCTTCCATGGGGAGGATGTTAAACCTGAGAGGGTGCAGAAAACATTTACAAGGATGTTGCTGGGACTGGAGGGTTTGAGTTATAGGGAGAGGTTGAATAGGCTGCGGCTATTTTCCTCTGGAGTGTCAGAGGCTGCAGGGTGACATTACAGATGTTTATAAAATCATGAGGGGCATGGATAGAGTGAATAGGCAAGGTCTTTTCCCCGGGGTGGGTGAGTCCAAACCTAGAGGGCATAGATTAAAGGAGAGAAGGGAAAAAGATTTAAAAAGGACCTGAGGAGTAACTTTTTCATGCAGAGGGTAGTGCGTGTCTGGAACCAGCTGCCAGAGGAGATCATAGAATCCCCACAATGTGGAAACAAGTCATTCGGCCCAACAAGTCCACACAGACCTTCTGAAGACCATCCCACCCAGAACCATCCCCTAACCCTGTATATTCCAAGGCTAACACACCTAACCTACACACTCCTGAACACTATGGACGACTTAGCATGGCCAATCCTACTAACGTGTCCATCTCTGGACTGTGGGAGGAAACCAGAGCACCAGCGGAAACCCACACAGACACGGGGAGAATGTGCAAACTCCACGCAGTCAGTTACCAGAGGCTGGAATCAAACCTGGGTCCCTGGTGCTTGAGGCAGCAGTGCTAACCACTGAACCACCGTGCCATGGTGGAGGCTGGTACAATTGCAATGTTTAAAAGGTACCTAGATGGGTATATGAATAGGAAGAGTTTAGAGGGATATGGGCCAAATGCTGACAAATGGGACTAGGTCAGATTGTGATGTCTCATTGGCGTGGACGAGTTGGTCTGAAGAGTCTGTTTCCATGCTGCATGACTCTATGGCTCTAACTGCCACTTGCCCAGCCAAAGCAGGTCACAGCAGGGCGGCAGGTGGTGGTGGTCTGGGGTAGGGTGGGGAGAGAAGGTAAAATACTCACATGACCATTCATATACACACACAAAGATACTAATCACCCAATGCCAGACTTAATGCTTCTCAATCAATAGTCTAATGTAAATCTTTGTCAGAAAGATTTCAGTTCTCATTCTGCTAATTACCAATTCCCCTTTGCAGCATGACGTGTTCACGCAGGCGCAGGATTCACAATCATCAGTGTATCAGCAGGAAACCAGTGAACAGAGACAGACAGAAAATCCTCTCCACATTGATTGTTGTGGAGGGCTATGACTTTAACTATTGTTAGTAGTAATGCGTTAATCAACCACCTCATTATACAGAACAACTGCACCACTGCTTCATTTTAAGTGCAAAAACTTTGTTTTAAGTTCACTAAATGAGACCGGTTATTTGCTGATTACTGTCACTCTTTTGCTAATTGAATTAGACAATTCAAGATCTCCAGTACGCTGCGAGGGAAAAATTATTTGTGTACTTGAGTCATGATTGGTCTTCACTCATTCATTTGATTAACAGTAGACTATTAGAGCTTCTTTAAGTGGGTGAAGAGAATTTAGAGTTGGTGTGAGGAAACAGCGATAGTCTGAGATACAAATTTAATTCATGTGATTTGATAATGATCAAATGCCTTCTCGAGGGATGAAGCGGGATCTAAATTGTGCCTTCCCAGTTTGTTTTACTGTGACAGCAGTGCTTTAGTAGAAATACTGCATTCTATCATTTTGTTTATTAAATTTTGACACTTAGCTGTATTCTGCCTAAATTAAGCAAGGTGCATACCCCAACGAGTCAAAAAAGACTATGTTATGTTCGGTTGGTGTGAGTTATCATTTGTTAGATTGTCAAGATTGTACAGCTGTATATCACAGACAGACAGAGACAGAATTCAGTAGTTTTTTTGCCACACTATTAGTGGGATTGTTGAATTCTTTTACATGTGTAACAGCAAGCGATGGTTTTCTGAGTATGAATTTTAGAGTGGATGTGTACCCTGTTTTGATACTGAGCTACATCAAGCCAGTGAATTTCAATTCCAACTCCTTTCTGAGCTCAGTGAGCTGATATCAATTAGGATGGTGGTGTCAATGCTCCACTGGAATCAGTATCTCTGAATGAGAAGAGAGGAGTCAACAAAAGTCGATCTTTAAAAACCTTTACTGGCCTTGCTATGTAAACACACTGCGCACAGAAATTAGTTAGAGGGTGGGAATTTTGTGACAATTAATTCAAAGTCTGATTCCCCAAAGCCTTTTTACTTCATAGAAAGTATTCAACTGGGGTCTGATAGAATACTCTGCCACTCATTTGGATGACTGCAGGTCCAACAGCACCCAAGGAGCTCAACAACATCCAGGATAAAACGGTTCATTTGATGGACACCCCATCAACCACTTTAACCATTCACGTCTTCACCACTGCCATACAATGACTGCAGTGTGTGCCATCTATAAGATGCATTTCAGCAACATGCAACAATCCTTCAACAGCAGCTTCCAAACCTGCAATCTCCACTTGGTTAAAATGATTAGTGTTTAAGTTGCACGGGAACATCAATACCTACAAGTTGTACGTTCTTTTTTTGACTTCACAATTGCAAAAGGACTATGACAGAATGGTGTTATGGCTTAGCTATAAGCAAAGAACCATATTTTGGTATGAACCTCAAATTTTAGGACAGAAAGGTGTGGAGTCACAATTGATGAGGTAAAATGACCTATCAAAGTTTAAAAAAAAGACATATTATTCCAAAATCTTGCTATTCTAATTTACTAGTTGTTAAATAAAAAAGTTGTTATTTTTCTACTTATTTTATATATTTAGAAGTAGTGAGTATAGGTTAGTCCCCCTTAGTCTAATATAAAACTAACTAAACAGCAATCAATCATGGTTCCTAGGATAAGCCCCTGTGCAAGTGTTGCAATGCAGCAACAATTTTACAAGGTTTACAATAAAGACAAATGAATGGGAGCTGGTTTTATCTCTGTAATCCTCTCCACTGATTTATTCATTGGAAGCAACAGTTCTCTGTTATGCAGCTTGAATTGTGCATGAAACATCCCTGGCTCTGCATTAGAGAAAGCGTATTGACCTCGAGTTGAATTAAACAGACAAGCATGTAATATGCACTTCAAATAGGCATGCAATTCTTTGTGCTGCTGCACATGAAAATATTAACTATCTAGTGAGACTTGGTAATTTTTTAGTAATTAGATTAAGGCTGTAGTTAAACATTATGTTGGTCAAGGAATTAGGATCTGAATTTGTATGTTACATGCTTTCAAAAAGCATCTGTACATGTTTTTTCCATTTTCGCAGCTATCCTTTTAATGTGTAACTTCTACTTTTTTCACACTGACATGTCAAAACAAGTACGATCACAGCATCAAATATCAACGCAACCTTGCGAGATATGCACACATCCATTTGTCTTTTAAGTAAACCAAGACGTTATTCCAGATTAAAACCTTGTACAGAAACTAACCATTCCTTCATCGCTACTGGCTCACAACTTGGAACTCCTTACTCAACAGCATGTGGGTGTACCCTCACTACATAACTGTAGCAGTTCATAAAAGGGGCTCAGAATTACCTTCTCAAGGATAACTAACGAGAGACAATAAATACTGAGCCGGATAGCAACACCCACATTCCAAGAATGAATAATGAAAAATAGGAACCATGGATGGATTATTAGTTAGTTAGACATTAGAATGGATGCACTATAAAGAATGTCCAGACAAAGATTTGTGCAATTCTAGCATTCTTAGACAATACAGATCCCAGTATGAAAGCATCCGAAACTTCAAACCCTGTCTCATTGGTAACAGTCCGAATTTGTCTGTGCAAATATGGAGCAATATTCTCTTTTTAAAGCAGAACTTCACAGTTCTGACTTGTACGAACTGGGCAGCTCAACTAATCACTGTACACCTGAGATGCAGCAGACTGGAGCTTCTGCAGTTATCAGAGCCCATGAGGTCATAGGAAAAGTCTCCATTATATTGAGTCAATCAATGTAAACAATTACAACTGGCAGAGCCTCACCGAGATGATGGGTATAATGTTGTCTAGTGTTTTTTTAACCCTGCTCCACCATTTATCCCAATTCCTTCATCTTGATTTATTTTTATTAATTTTTTAAAGGGACTATCATCTAGCTATGCACAGCATACATAAATCTAAAACCTTCACAAGAAGCTACTGTGATTATGAAACAATTGTATGAGGTACATTGTAAGGCAAGGCCTGTACAGAAAGTAAATGGAAGAAACAACATTAAAATTTCCAAGTTCCCACAAGTTTAATAAAATGCAATGTCATATAAGTACTAATTGGCTAGTACTAACTGGCGAGATGAATAATAATATAGCAAACATGTGTTACCACAGGAATATGCAAGTCAACAATAAGTCTTATAACTCCTTTTTAAACAGTTAAATCACCCAAGAGACAGATTTTCTGTGTCACGGAGCACTAACAAATAATTTATATTTATTTCTCATTAATCAAATCGAGTTACAAGTAAAATATGCATGGGTTTATTTATTCTTTGCCTTGCTTAACTATTAAATAATCAGATGCAAAGTATCTTGAGGATACCTGAAGTTCAGTTTGAAAGAAGAATTTCTGTGGGCATTGCGAACAGTCGTAAATCTTATCTTCTTGCCCATGTACTGCGAAGATGTGCTGCTGCAGTTTGTTTGCCTGCACGAAGACTGAAAATAATTGAAAGTGATCAGGAGTGCATCTGCTGCAGAACTTGGCTGCCGTTCCCAGCTGTACGTCCATTACTACCACACTGAGCCAAATCCCCCACGGATCGAGTGATATTTATCAATAAATCATTTTTTTGTTTCACTAAATTTAATCCACTATGTAGGTGATATTAATAATTTAATATTTCAAGGCAAGTGCTTCACTTATTTATAACATCTTGTATACTGGGGCTCTTTTTAATTTGTGCGCGTGAAGATGCCTTTTTGGGGTCGCTAATTATTAGTCTATGTCCTGGGATGGATCATCAGAAATGAACCTGCATCTTCAGTAAAACCGTTATTCACCATGCCCACCCAAATAACATTCAAATGTTAATATGTGCCAACAGTGAAGCAAACAAGGAAAAGATAAAAGAAATCGAAGATCAGATTTTTTTTCCCGGTTATATTTTTAGTGACTTGTGCTTATCAAAGTAAGGGATGCTTGAATGAAGACATTAGAAAGAAATAGCATCTGTTTAGACCCTATCAAGCATCAGTGATGAATGGTCAGGTATTGGTTTTGTGCACATCATCAAATCTCAACTTCATAAAGCTGATAGGTTACTCCAATTGGCGAATATCAGTGCAGCAGCATAGGTGAGGTAGTGAGAAGTCCATTAGCTTTATGTTAAAATGTTTATACCCTGAGTTAACATCACAATGGGTGAAAACAAAATGACAAATCAATTTGTTTGTTGGGCAGTCATATTTCTAATTGAGTAGCATGTCATTAGTCTAATGTTCTACAAAATTATTTTACAAAGGAACTACACATCATGGGATATAGTGGAATCTATTGAGAAGCCCCATTGCTAACTTAATGCAAGTTAACCAAGTCTTTGAAAATCAAACAAGGTAATTAGTTGTAACAGTGGAGATAACACCTGGGTCTTTCTTACATTTGATTAGTGAATTGTGTGTTGTACAGATCTGGGACAGTAAAGGTAATGATCAATGTTTTGCCAAAGCTAGCTTATTAAAATAGGCAATATCATCATGAGTTAGGCACTACATACTAGAAATCTTCAGTAATATATTTTCTAATCAACCTGTTCATAGATATTATGAATCTCTGTAGCAGGTGGAACTTGAACCTGGGCCTCTTGGTTCAGAGATACGGACACAACCACTGCACTATGAGAGCCTCATTAAATCTTTAGAAGTAAACTAAAAAACTTGAGTGGATCAAGCTGCAAACTGTAATGAACACAAAAACATAGATTTTGATTGAAATCCTGTAACTTTGAATGAAAACACAAACAATGTGTGACACTAAATTAATTCACAATCATTTAAATTTATTTAAAGCAAAAAAATTTTGTCCACTAAGGCAGAAAATTAAGCAGAAATCTAAAACTACAATAGAGCCTCAGGACAGCTTAAATAGCCAATCTCCATTCCTGGACTAGCACTAGTTGCAGTGTGGCCTTAAAGGGACATGTTCTAACATGAAATCGGGAAAGACTGACAATTCCAATTAAAAATGATTACCTGTTTTGTAAGAAGGGAGTAAATCTGCTTTCCATAAAATTAATAATGAATTTTATTGTTCCAGAGAGCAAGTCAAACATTTTAATTTTTCCTTAAGTCAGAATCAGATTAATATTATTGTGTTTGAGAATTATATCACACCTTTGGGGACAGAAACCCCTATTGCTGATGCTTGTAACATTTAATAAAAACAGAACACTAGGCCAAAATGCACTAGATAGAGGATCATGTTATTTCTGTTTTTTTGTGATTTAAGAAGGGACTTCCTATCTAGTTTGTGAGATAAGAGGACTAAGGTATGCAAGACCTGAGCAAAAACAGAAACAGGCTAAATACATCTGATCAATGCAGCTGCAGGTATAGAGCACAGTGTGTGTATGGATTGTATGAGGGCCCATCTGCGAGTACATGTGTGGTGAATTGGAGCCTCAGGTGTAGTTTATGACCTGCAATCATCAGTGGTTATATATAGGCGGAATCAAACAGCAAGTATGAAATTTTGCATTTGACTACAAATATTGCTACCACACATTAATTAGAATCAGTGAGGTGAAATCAGACCAAATGAGCTCTTGCTGAAGTTGCTCAATACAGTACTTTTAATTTCCCAACTATCCAGACTAAGGCCAGTCATTTAACATGATACCTCTGGAGTTGCTCATTTATTCACCCATTCCCTCATGTTTAATGCCCTTATCCCTGGCAAAAAAAGTTATTCTCTCTCATCCTGGTCATTCCCTCTAGTATGGTCACATCTTTACTTCTTTTAGCAACTTTATTTGGCTATCTATCACTGAATTTGATTGGACCCATCAAATTCTCTTGTCCTTACTCTTTTCTGCAAGAACAGGCTCATATTCCAGAAACACACTGGAGAGTGAAAATAAGCCTCAGATTCAGTTTCCACCACCACCTGTCTCCTCCTTTGATAACAAGTACAAGTATAAGCAGCTCATGAATCAATAAGGTCAACACCATCCTGCCGTCCACATTGTCTCTGTTGCTTTCCTGGGTTCTGCATCAAGTCAAACTTTGCCTTAGGTCCCCCTATATCCTAGCCTTGAGCAAAGTAAGTTGGAGGAACAGAACCTCATCTAATGATTAGAAATTTTACAGCCTTCCAGACTCAATACTGAATTAAACAATTTATGAACTATGCCCCCACGTTTTCTTTCTTGTATTTTTCATTTTGGTTTTAGACAACAGCTGCAGGGCATGATTCTGTCTCCATTAAGGCCATCTTTTGTTCCTTTACTTCTGTTACCATTATCATCTTAGTTCACTTTGCACCATTAACACTTTTGGTCATTTAGTCTTTCCTGTCTGCTTCCAATCACAGATCATCCCTTTTGCTCTTTTCCTTTCCACTACCTCTGCAATTGTTTAAAATCTGTCATATCTTCAACTTTTTCACATTACCTGAAATATTAACCGTTTGTCTTTCTACAGATCCTGCTGTACCTGCTGAGCATTTCCTGTGTTCATTCTAGAGTTCCAGCATTCACGGTTTTGCTTTTGCATTGTTAAATGTATTGTTTCTTAAATCTTTCCTAAAATTACTTGTGATTCCATATTTGGATCTCACCAATCAGGTTTATGCCCATTTTATGGTGGAAATCACTCTGATCAAAGTCGGAAATTAAATTCTCTCTCTCATAGAACGTGGTGGATTTTCTCTCCTCATCTTCTCGACAGCTTTTGCCAGTTTTGATCATATTATCCACTTCCAATTTCTTTTCTCCATTTTTACAACAGCAAGATAGCTCTGGCTCAGCTCCACACTTACTTTGATTGCAAATTTTTTGGTATCTCCTATAATGGCTTCTCATTCTGGTTCAGGATCATTAAACTTTAAGCTTCAGGATCCATCCTCAGCTATCTTCCTGTTCTCAGCTACATGATGTCCCCCTCTTAGCTGCATCATCCAAATTCACAGGGTTAACTTCCACATGTATGGTCATTACAACCAGCTTTATACCTCCATAACCTCCCTATGGCCTTGTCCACTGCCTGTGGTTTCAAACTGCTTGTCAAACTTTCAGTCTTTAATTAGGTCATGACTTCCTCCAGTAAAGTAAAAGAAAGACCAATAGCACTGTCGTCACCTCATGTTGCAACTTCCATAATCTTGCAACGAATTCCAGTTCGTCATCATCAACCAGTAACTCAACACGAAACAAACGGTTTAGACTCCTGCACCCAATGAAACCGAGTATGAGTAAGTCTGTATACTCAAACAAAATAAAAGTCTTTTCCAGCACTGTGACATTGACCATTTCAAGTGCTGCCTTGGCCAGCTACTCCTGAAACCCACACTCTTAAAATGTTAGAGACGCAAACATTCCAACACTTTTCTGACCATCCTCCAAACTCTTTAATCCTCAATCCACTCAGCACTATATCCTATCACATATATCTATCAAACTGCACTGTGCAATTTGAACTGTATTGGCATTTGGTTCCCCTCGTGCCTCCAATTTAAAATTCTCATTCGCATTGAAATCCTTACATGGCTTCATTCCTCCCTAGCTCTGCAACCTTTTCTATCCTTATAATCCCTCTTCCTACATCTCTTTGCTTCTCCAGCTTGGGGCTCTTGCATATCTGCTCTTCTAACATACTACCCTTTACAGAGAGGTCTTCCATCATCTTGCCTGCATGCCCCAGAACGATGCTCCTCAATCCCTTCAACTCCCATCTTTATATCCTCCTTTAAGAACCCCCTTAAGACGTAACTGGGCTCCAGTATCATTTGAATGAATCTGTGTTGCACCTCCTTAGCCAATATATTTTTCTGGAGGCATGGTGCCCACTACTGCACACAATACTCCAGATGGAATCTGACCAAGGGTCTGTGCAACTGAAGCACAGCTTCCCCCCCTTTGTAATCTAGCCCCTCTTGAGATAAAGGCTGACATTTCATTAGCCGTTTTGATTGCTTTTTCTAAGTGTGCAGTAGCTGCAAATGATTTGTGTATTTAGACTCCCAAATTTGTACCTCATTGCCAACTTCAAATCCTGAAGAATTTCCATAAACAAGCATAGAATGCAGTCAATGTGACTTTGGTTAAAATACACTGACAGTTCTGAATCTTGATTCCAAAAGTGGAATTATTTTATTTATATTAATTCAATAAAAATATTAATATAATTAATGAAGTAGTAGTGATTTCACTACTTTCAATGTTATAGCTAAAAGTCCAGTATTATCCTTAAGCACAGCAAATTTTTCATTTCTTTTGCAGAAATTACTCTTATGCTTTCAGAATTGAACTCAATTTATTCAATATTCCCAATTAAAATTAGTAGCTTCCTATTCAACTTCAACATACAAATTCTATTGTAAGCAACTTACCTGTAAAACAAACGGGGCATTTAAAAGTACCTCCCATCCCTTCAAAGCTGTGTTCAATCAGGTGACACAGGAGCTTTGCTGGTGAGTCAAACATCTGGTTACACAGTTTGCACTCATGATTGATGCCTTCCTCTGCAAAGTTCAAACAATATAACAGTTAGTTAAAGAAAACTACAGGGTGGAGGTGGGGATATACAATGATACTGTTTGAAATGTATATCTGAAAACCAACAATCTAAAGCAAGTACCGAATATCAGCGTGGTAGTCGTCAATAAAAAGCATAGGCATTGTTCAAAACCATTTCAGTTCTGATCTAATACTGCAAACGATAACATTTGTACATTTGCTCTAAGGCTGTTTATGATGCAGTTATGCCATCATCAGCAGTTTTATTGTTACAATATTTAAAATGCATCTTGCACCTGCAAGAGGCCTGAAGATTTAAGCAGCACTAAAACATTGAAAATTCAAATCAACATTGGTCTGACCTTAAACCATGACTGTCATTTTTTTTTTGCAAAAATCATGGATTTGGGATACTTCTGGCAGCTGAAGATGAGCATTTGGAGCTGACAGATTTATTACTCCTATCAGATTTGATGACAGCAGATTAGGACCCTGCTGAGTCTTGGTAACAGCCTGTCACCAAATCAGGATTAGTTGCACTGACCACAGATGTTTTTGATTGGATAAACCCAACACCTTCCCTACTGCGCTTTTACTGAGGCTAAAGCTAAATGTACCAATTTTATAGTACCCAAGTGTTAACATTTGCTTTCTTTAACAGTTAGACAACACTCATAGGCTACAACGAATCCTAACATTATCAGTCAATTAGAGATGGGTTGCGCGATTACATTTTTGACGCAATTTGGCAATTGTGCTCCAACAATAAACTAGTCAGAAAGTAATGAATTAAATACAAACTTGAGGAGGAAACTGTAATAGAAAATATATCTGAAATAAATCTGAAATCCTTCTTCGCCTGGTGGAGATAGGATGTAATTTTACAGGCTCCCTGAAGGCTCCTAGGAGGTATGGGTGCTGATAAATGCCAGACAGGCATGTCAGGATGGCTGCCTGACGCAATCCTGTTGGTTGGGAAGTTTTGCAACAGTAGGAAAGTTACAGATTTGGCATACTGCCAAGCAGAGGTGGCTGGTGAACACAGACAATTAAAAACCAATTAAGGGCTACTTCCTGGGGTCACTGGCATTTAGCTGGTGGTGGAACTGTTCCTCAGCAATGTGGGAAGACTATAAGCTTCAAGAGAGCAGCCAACCTTGGGTTTCGGGATTAGTGCAGATGGAGCTGAATGCTCATGGCCCAAGGAGGAGAGTGCCAATGGCAGAGACCATTCCCGTGGCCCCAGTGGTGTCACTGGAGAGATTTCCCTCTACTTGTCAGGTGCTTTCTTCTCAGCCCCAACAAATTCTTCTCAATCCCTGCTAGGACACCGCAAAACAGAGCAAACCTCCATATTAGCATGCAGGATTATACAAGGAGGGAGTCAATGAGTAGTGCCCAGGGACTATGTGTTCTTTTAAGTTATTCATGGAACGTGGGCCTCACTACTTCACCTCAATTGTGCTGCAAAGTCGGATCCAGGGAGCCTTAGCGCTAGAACTAGCTTAAGTGATGATCTAGAAAAGGAGTTCTCAATTCTTCTGAGGCCTCCCTCCTGTGTTATAAAGGTTCTATGCAAACCCTAAAACATAGTAGCTTTTCTGCAAGAAATAAATAATATAAATAAAAATACATTTATTCTTTTTGTTTTTACTTACCTGAAAATCTTTGGCTGGTGCTTAGCAACAATTCTCAGAAATACATAAACCTAGAATCAAATACCTCAATAAAAATGCATTTTGTGGCACAATGGTAGTATCCTCACCCCTGGACGTGGAGGCCTGAGTTCAAGTCCCACCTGCTCCAGAGGTATGTAATAACATCTCTGAACAGATTGATTGGAAAAATAGGTTAACTAAAAAAAACAACTTGAAAAATTAAAAATACATTTTTAGAAAGTCTTCAATGACACACTTTTGACACAGTAGATTGGGTTCGTGCCCCTGAGCTCTGGATCCAAGCCCCAATCCATGACTTGGTGGCCAAGGAAGGCGCATTCTTAATATGGCCAAAAGGGTTGGGTGTCAACTTCCAAATCCTTCCAACATATAATGGTAAGAGCAGGAGAAACTCCTAGTCTACCATATCATGGAATTAAACTGAAACTTCTACTAGCACTGTCCATAGATCCACGCCACAACTTACATGGAAACATGTATTATGCCACTACAACACAGACTCTGTATGAGCATGGCTGGCTCAACTGGATGGACAGGTGCCAAAAATATGGTTCAATTCCATTCCTGGATTTGGGACCTGCCTTGCTATCCTATATTTGGTGGAGATCATCGTGTTGGGGGTCAGATCTGCCTCTGATAGAGAGTTCAGTCATAAAGCAGCAGCTCGTAACCTTATCATTTTTACTGCTCAGATACATTAAATTCTTTATTCTGTCTCCAACCGAGTTCCTCTTGATACCTGACTGTCATCATGAAGGGCAAATAGATCTAGAAAGCTAATAAAATGATTGACACCCTCAAAACTGGCACTTTTATCGTCTTCCAGTGTTGCTGACTGGGCTCTGTCTGGTTAACAGCTTTGAACATTTTCACATAGTTAAAGCATTTGCATAGAAACATCGAAAATAGGAGCAGAGCAGGCCACTCAGCCCTTTGAGTCTGCTCGGCCATTCACTATGACCCTTGCTGATCATCGAACTCAGTAGCTGTTCCTGTTTTTCCCCCATTTGATTCCTTTTAGCCTCAAGTGCTATATCCAATTCCTCCTTGAATTCAGACAATGCTTTGGTCTTGACTGCTTCACACATCAAAATCATTTAAGAATGCAAGGACCCTAAGTATTGAGGAGAATTCACTCAGAGAAATGTAACTATTTGTTCTGAATTGTTAGCAGTTAATGTTTTACAAGATGTAATTTTTTTTCTAAAACTCCTTAGATTAGGTCCCATTCGAATGCAAGTTATTCAAAAAAAGGAGGGATAGAAAGCAGGAAGTTACAAGCCAGTTAGTTTAACATCTAACATTGTGAAATTGCTAGAATTTATTATTAAAAAAGTTATAGCAGTGCAATCAGATGAGCTTAAAGTACTCAGACCAGTGACATGGTTTTCATATTTAACAATCTATTGGAGATTTTTGAGGAAGTGGCATGTGCTGTGGATAAAATAGAACTGGTGGGTGCATTGTACTTAAGAGTTGTAGATGGCATCCGATAAAGTGACACATCAAACATTAATATGGAAAATAAAATCTCATGGTGTTGTGAATAACATATTGACATAGACAGAACATTGGTTGGCTAACAGGAAGTAGTGAATGGGCATAACTGGGTCTTTTTCAGATGGCGAGGTGTAATGAATGGTTCTCGACAACAACTGTGTTGGGGCCTCAATTGTTTACTATTTGTACAAATGATTGGATGAAGGGACAAAATGGATTTCCAACTTTGCTGACATTACAAACTTAGGTAGCAACCGAAGTTGTGAAGAGGACACAAGGACATTACGCAAAGATATGGCCAGGTTAAGTGAGCAGGCAAAGATTTTGCAAATGAATAATAATGTGGGAATGTATGGTATTGCCCATTTTGGCAGGAAGAATAAAAAAAATCTAATTGGTGATATATTGCAGAACTCTGAAATGCAGAGGCATCTGATGGCCCAAATACAAGAATCGCAAAAGTCTATGAAGCAGGTACAGCAAGAAAGAATGTTATCATTTATTGTGAGGGGAATTCAATTCAATTCAAGTCAATTCAATTTAAATACAAAAGGTGAGGACTGGGTCAGACAGTAGCTCAGTGGTTAGCACAGCTGCCTCACAGCACCAGGAACCTGGGTTTGATTCCAGCCTTAGGTGACAGTCTGTTTGGAGTTTGCACTTTCTCCCTGTGTCGGCATGGGTTTCCACTGGGTGCTCCAGTTTCCTCCCACAGTCCAATCATATGCAGATTAGGTGGATTGAACCATACAGATGTACTGCATAGAAACAAACCCGGCAGAGCAACTCGTCCATGTTGACCAGATATCCTCAATTAATCCAGTTCCATTTGCCAGCATTTGGCCCATATCCCTCTCAACCCTTCCTATTAATATATCCATCCAGATGACTTCTAAATGTTGTAATTTGTACCAGCCTCTGCCACTTCCTCTGGCAATGGAATGCTAAACTGCCATGCCAAATTGTCTGCAGTGTCCAGGGATGTGTAGGCTAGGTGGGTTAGCTATGGAAAATGTAGGGTTACTGGGACAGGATAGGGGGGTAGCTGTGTGTGTGGGATGCTCTTTGGAGGGTCTGGGCAGACTCAATGGTCCAAATAGCCTCCATTCATACTGCAGGGATTCTATGGTTTTCGGTTATGCTTCAGTTATACAGGACACTGGTCACTCTGTTTAAGGGAGGATGTAAATGAATTTGAAGCAATTCAGAAAAAAATTACTAGGCTAATACTTGGAATGAGAAGGTTGTCTTATGAGGAAAAGTTTTAAAGATCCCAGACTTGGATCCACGGGAATTTAGAACAGTGAGAGGCGATTTGATTGAAACATACAAGATGCTCTGACAACGTGGATGTGGAGAGGACACTTCCTCTTAAGAGCAATGGTCCCTTTATTATTTTCTGCGTCCATCATCCTAATCGCATCCAGAAAGCCTGCGCAGCTTGGACGGAACAATGCTTGTAGGAGAATTAGAATTAAGGGCCCCTGTTTAAAAATTAGGGGCTGCCCATTTAAAATCGAGATGAGATGATTTTGTTTCTCTCAGAGCGTCATGAATCTGTGGAAATCCTCACGAAAAGGAGGAGGACACTGAGCCCTTGAATATTTTTAAGGCAGAGATTTGATAGATTCGTGTTAAGCGAGGTGGTGAAAGATTATCAGGGATAGGCAGGAATGTGGATTTGAAGTTACAATCAGATCAGCAATGATTTTATTATTGAACAGGCTCAGGGGCTGAATGGCCCGTTCCTGATTTATATTCTTACATCATAAGTACACCTTCTCTGGGTATTTTTGGCAGACTCCTTGAAACCATCTTGCAGCCCT